ATGGTTTTTTTCTGTCCCCCTCAGCCCTTGTTCGAGATCCCTTTTCTTTGAGTATCCTCTAAGGCATAGGGTACATTTTTAGTTTATGGAGTGTAGTTCTCGCCTGCGAGAAAACTCGAAAACAAGGTCGGAGCGAATGAGCGGCCTTGATTGGTGCGCTGCTGGCCCTTATCTCGGTGCATCTTGAAATGGTCTATCATAGATCGTCATGATCCGTATGCGTTAACACCAACGTTACCCTACTGGTGGCTTTGTTACATTGGTACATCGGTAGCAGGATTCATGTGGTGTTGATTCGGAGGTGCACCACTGACCCTCCATCCCATAGAGCTGCTTATACGGCTTAATTAGAATTTAGTGCTGATATGCACAGGGTAGGCCTTCGGGCTGAGCAGTGCGTTGAGAGGTACCAGCTTACCATCGGACCCCTTTCTGTTTACCAAGTAAAATGACTCTTAGAATGGATAACTACATAAGTAGACTATGTGTAGGCGTCTTTTTTTCGAAAAATCGATTTTTTCGCGTTGTAAAGTTTAACAAGATGTTCGTTTCACCGTACTTGCAAGAACACACTATTTATGCTGACAATTTTTCAAGTCCATCTCTAAGTTATCATCCACAGGTTTAAGAAAAGGGAGACGCTGTCGATGGCACTCGCCTGACGTTTCGTGTCCACGCAGTAATGCCTCATCAGGAATAGCATCAAATTATGGTGGCGGATTCTGGTGTGAATCCGTAGCACCAGGCCAATGGAATTCATTTTCCAGCAATATCGTCTGCTTTGCCTTCACGACTACTTCGTGGAAGTCGCATTGTCGCTTGTATCCACGGGTTTATTGATTCCGCTACAGTAACTTATCTACGCACAGCCAAGTCACAGATAGATTGATAGCGACCACGCCCTCCTCGAGTGCATGTACTGCAGAGGCAGTTATTATTTCTGTGTACTTCTAGCAAACCTTTCAGCTGCCGCTACACACCACTGAGAGAACATTGTCGAGTTCTAACGCGAAAAGTTGGGGGTTTTCGAA